TGTGTGTGTGTGTGTGTGTGTGTGTGTGTGTGTTTTGAGATAGGATCTCACTATATAGCCCAGCTGGCCTCAAACTCGGAGTGATCCTCCTGCTTCAGCCTCCCTAGTATGGGGATAACAGGCGTGCACCACCATCACCACAGCTGGCTGGGTTTTCACTTGCGTGGAGCAGTGTTGGAGATCATGTTGTGAAATATGTCAAAAATTCATGTTCTACTTGCGTTTTCTGTTGTTTTTCTATCTCTAAGCAAAATGTAATCTCTTTCTCTTTTGGAAATTCACAGGAAAAGATCGCACAAGTAAAATCTGAGCAGTATGGACCAGAAATAATTGTTCAAGTTAAGCCAGAAAAGTCCAGCTCATCGTCTGAGACCAGCGTATCAACCTCGGAAGACATACCAGATTCATTAAGTAGGTGCATCCAGGCATTTGACTGGGACTGTCAAAAGGAAAGTGATGACCTCCGGGATAGTGATAATTTTTCAGAAAAAGATAATACTCTGTTTATAATGCTGTGGAATCACAGGGGTGAATTCAGACTGACTTCATTTTCTGTACATTTTTAAGATAAGCAAGAAAAATGAATATATCTCATCCTGGATTCAAGTGCTTGGAAGTGGTACTATTCTCTTTCATTTAGTTTTAATCTTCCAAAGTTGGGCGGTGAATCTCGTTCTTTTCCAAACTCATGTGGTCTCTTCTGCTGTGACACAGTAGTGGTGTTCCAAAGAAACAACTTCTCCTTAACTTTTAATGGGGGAAGGCGGGGAGGGACAGCCTCAAAAATAGTGGTATTTCTTGCATAAATAGAAGACATTTTATAACTATAATTGTATAAAATTGACAAATCTTAATGGTGAATGTGTAATGCATATTATGACCCCTAATTAGTTGAATCATATTGCAGGTATTCCATATATGAATTAATACCTCAATTTTGATCTTATATTTTGTTGTTTTCAGTTTTTTTTCATTTTATTTTTCACAGGTTTTAAACATAGTTTTAATGCTTCTACATTTTAAATACTCATAGTTAACAACCCTTCTATTATTGCTGTCAGTCTCAGAGCTTTGTTCCAGAAAAATCCCTTCAAACAACAAGAGTGGGGAAAGTCTATGGACTTCTGAGTGATTTCTAAAATTTATAAGAACAGTGATTACTGTAAATCTGTTTTTCTGGTCTTCCTCATCAATTTGCTGTAGATAATTACTCATATGTATTGTTGTGAAATCTACGATGGACAAATCTCTATAGCCTTCCACAGATGACTTTTCCAGTAAAAGTGGCCATATTAAGATGGCTACCAGCAAATGGTCTTTGTGGTCGAAATTGAGAAGCTCCTAGCTTCTTCACTGTCGTTTACAAGGGGTAATTGAAATAAATGTGAATATTTCAATTTTAAAATTCTATTAAGAAGACACATTGCTATTCATTATCCTCAGAATATTCCTCCTCCATTCAAATACCTTATCCCACCATTCTTGCCACTTTCTGCAGCAGTTCTGGAGTCCTCTTTTGTGAGTGTCTTTATGAGGTGTGATCAGGAATCCAGTGAATGATGCTGCCAAGGGCCATCCAGCAGAAAGGCAGACTGTGAAAACATTACCATATGCCCTCATCCATGCTGTCACCCCCTGTGCTCTGTGACTTCTGCCTCTTCCATTGTGTCAAAATGATTACGAAAGGCAAACATTTTGAATCATTCAGGACATCAAGGCAGTCCCAGTAGCGTAACTAAAGACACAAAGGAAGACTTCCAGAGCTGCTTCAGAAAGTGCTGTTACTTGATTCTGTGTTCATTTGGAATTAGACAATCATAAAAATACTATTAAGATGCAAAACTGATTTGGAAAGTAGTTGGTAATGAAAAAGGAGCTATATAAGAGTTTGGCCAAGGGCCTTCTACTGGAAGCATCCAGAAACCAGAATTTTCCAAAATACTGTGGTGCCTTGGTCCACGAACTTCACTCATTCCATGATTCTGGGGAAGATGCCTACAAGTTCTGTTCATGTAGGGAAGATGGCCAGAATCGTATTGGTCATCTGATGGCAGAGTTCTCAAATGGAAGCAAAATTTTGCTGAACAGTCCTGTTCAGGAACCAAATTGTTCATGAACAGAAGCGTTCATGAACCGAGACATTACTGTACTGTAAATGTTCATCTCAAACTCATACTGTGATTGAAAGGCAGCTTGCTCCTATCCATAGCATCGTAGTAAGATATGCATTCCTAGGCCGCAAAAAGTCAGTGTGAGGTGTTCCAGATGTTTCTATTTTCTAAACTTCTAATTTTCAAATGATTTTGGACTTAGAGTTGCAGAAATAGTACACTTTAAAAAAGAAAAAGGGTGAAAATTTCTATTTAAGGCACCTTTTACTCAACTTCCCCTAATGTAATATCTTACATAGCCAGGGCACAGTTGCCCAAAGTAAAATGTTCACACTGGTGCAGTACTCTTAACAAAACCCCAGACTTTATTCAATTTCTCCCAGTTTTTTTTCCCCCAGAATGGTCCTGTTCTTAGCATCCAAGCCAGGATCCCTCATTGCATTTACACATGTCTCTAGTTTTCTCCAGGCTCTGACAGGGACTCAGTCTTTCCTGGTCTTTCATGATCTTCATACATTTGAAAAATATACTCCAGATATTTTAGAGACTGTCCCGCAATTTAGAATTCCCTAAAGCTTCCTCAAGATGAGGTCCAGACAGTGCCTGTCTTACCTATGTCTGTCATTGCTGAGACAAAATACCTGACACCCAAAGTTAAGGGAGGAAAATTTTATTTAGGCTCATAGTTTGTAGAGGTTTCAGTCCATAGTCAGCTGTGCAGAGTGGAGAAACAGTTCATGGCAGGCAGAAGGTAGCAAAGCATGTGAGGAACCAGACAAGCCTCTTTTTTGTCCCTTATATTGTATCTAGGCTACCCACCCTTAGGCCTTCTTCTGAAATCTGGCTGGAAGCCTTCCTGAGCCCACAACTCTTGCATTCTGCATGCACCTAAAAGCATTACCACATGGATGATGCAAAGGTCTGCCACCACCTGGATCAGTAGCCAGGCTTCCTTCTGTCTTGGAAGTATGGGTGAGTGCTTATGAATCAAATCATGAGGAACAACTTTCCTAGGGCACTACATTCTGGAACACAGTGCCCTGGGGCTGTCTTCTCAAAGCAAGGTCTTTCACTTCTGCAGCTCTGAGGCTACAAAGGCTAGAGTGCTGTTGGTTCTTGTAATGTCCTCAGGCCATCTTTTCTGTTGTCTTCTGAACTGCTTGGCTTTTTCTTGCTAGACTTTTCAGTAACTGGTTTCTTCTTTGTTCCATCTTTACAGGTGGCAACTTTATTGGAGCTTCCTTTCTGGCCAACTCAAAAAAATTTTTTTTTTTTTTTTTGGTACCAGGGATCGAAGTCAGGTCCTTGTGCTTGCAAAGCAGGCCACCGAACCCCTGAGCTAAATCCCCGGCCCTCATAACATTTTAAATCATTACACTGGGTTCTTTGCTCTTAATTCTCAACATAATTTCTGGCTAAAATCCCCCACCAGTAGCCATGCCACAGCCTCACCATTAGACTGCCTTGATATTTCTTCTGCAAGATGAATTAGTCTGCTGCCCTTAATCTTAGTCTCAGGCAAAGTCTCTGAACATGAGCAAAATGCAGACAAACTTTCTGTCAAGGAATATAGCACACTTTGTCGAGAGTCCAACAGTAGTCCTTTCCAACAGAAACCTCCTGAGCCTCTTCTTTACCAGCAGGATATCTATCAGTCTTCTGATCTTCTGACCTCTGACCAGAATCTCCCATCAAGTACAGCCTCAGACATTCCAGCTCTACTTTTTCAGCAGGCTTCTAAAAACCTTTCCTAACTCTCCGTCTCCCCACAAGCCAGCTCCAAAGGCTCCTAAACCACATGGTCAGGTGCAGTCACACCAATGACTCCACTTTTCTGGCGCTAAATTCTGTCTTAGTTACTTTCATAGTTGCTGAGAAAGTAATACCTGACACATAAAGGAGGAAAGGTTTACTGAGTTCACAGTTTGTAGAGGTTTCAATCTATAATTGGCTGTCTCCGAGGCAAGGTGGTATGGCAAACAGGCATTGCAGAGGAGAAGCAGTTCATGGCAGACAGAAGGTTACAGTAAATCCTGCCGGAGATTTAGCTCAGTGGTTCCGCCACCTGCCTTGCAAGCGCAAGGATCTGAGTTTGATCCCTAGTACAAAAAAAAAAAAAAAAAAAAAAAAAAAAA